AAGTGGACTGGGTGACAGACAGAAACACATGGTGAGACATAAAAATAAACAATAAAATAACCAAATAAGTGCTGGCATGCAACAACATGGATATTATGTTGATTATAAGTTGTGTTGAAAAATGACCAAAATCGTCGAGCCAACATTTTAAACCAACGTCATATTGACGTCAAATACTGACATTACTTAACATTTGTAATATAGACAATTTAAAAAAAGATGTTGGTTGCAATACAAAATGCTAATTTATAACTCATTAAGTTATGTAGATTCCACAAACAAAATAATGGCTAGAGAAATAGAAAAATCAAGTTAAGTTTATGTGAAAACTTTATTTCGACAAATATAAAAATTAAGTAAGTTCTGCAAGGCCTAGTATTGTTTCATCTACATAATAATGCTATGCAAAAAAAATTCATTATATATTTTTAAGTAAATGAAGCAGAAAATTATAAGTGTATTCATCAGGTATGCAAACCAAAATAGCATCATAGTGGTAATGCCCACACACATCAAGCTGTAACATCATTAGACATCGATATTTAGTTTTTTTTTTGGCTGCGTTGGAAAGAGACCAAAATGCACATTGACGTCAGCCTGACTTTGGGTTCAGACGTCAACCCGATTTTCATTTCCAAACATAATGCAACGGTTCACAACATTGGGGTTCAACGTTAATCTAACGATATGTTGACGTCCTGTACCAGCTGGCTTGTCACAGACTAATTTGATTTTCTTACTCTGCTGAACACTAAAGTAAATATTCTGAAAAATCTTGAAAATTCCAAGATAACAACCACTGAAACTAAAAAATAGGCTCATTAGGGTTCCTTAAATCATTTAAAATTCATAAAATATGTATATGCTCGTACTGCTATTTTTGGCAGTTTGGCGCCATCTTATGACTGAATAATAAATAGGTTAGTGTATGCTCCATTCACCCACTTTTGTTTCTGTCTGCTTTGGTTCAATTAAAGAGATTATAAATCTTTAGAACAATGTTTTGTGTGTAATTTGTTACACTTTGTGGCAGAAAGCAGTATAATAAGCAATCCAAAAAAGTGTTATCGCAGAATTAAGTCTTATACAACAGTGCTCCGCTTCAGGTTGGGCTGCCGATAAGCCTGTTGGGCTTTAATCTGCAAAAAATAACCACCTGCGTGTAGATCTATCCCTCTTATACACTTACATACACTTAATACACTTGACTGACATGTACACAATGACATCACCTATATAACTGCAGATTAAATAGGCTTATATATAATAACTATAACTGTTAAAAGCTATAAGTTACTAGTTAATTAGTTAATGTAATGTGTATTTATATAGTGCATTTATTATGTATGGTCATAAACCCAAAGCGCTTTACAATCATGAGGGGGGTCTCTCAACACCACCACCAGTGTGCAGCATCCACTTGGATGATGCAATGGCAGCCACAGGACAACAGCGCCAGCTCCCTCACCACACACCAGCTATATGTGGAGTGGAGAGACAGAGATGGAGCCAATTCAGTGGATGGGGTTGATTGGGAGGCCATGATGGGTAACACCCCTACTCTTTAGGGGAAGTGCCATGGGATTGTTAATGAACACAGTCAGGACCTCGGTTTAATGACTCATCTGAAAGACGGCACACACTGACAGTATAATGTTCCCTTAACTTTACTGGGGCATCATGACTTAAACAGACCGCAGATTGAGCGCCCACTTCTGGGCTCACTTACACAACTTCCAACAGCCACCTAGTTTTCCTGTGTGGTCTCCCATCCAGCTATTGACCAGGCTCAGCCCTGCATAGCTTAGTGAGTAACCGCTCTTGGGCTGCAGGGTGATATGGCTGTGGCGTTAAAGTATTTAGCTACTAATAAAATAATGGTAATTAATAATCTTACCTTTTCTGAATTTGCTTATTATACAATAGCTAAAGCGCTAAACAAATGAACTTGAATTGAATTCAATTAAATAAAAGCTCCTGGACCAACCTCTGGAGGAATGCTGTCCTCAGAATCCGAGCTGTCATCAGTAGCCTGGCTATCCAAGCTCATCTGCAGGAGCTGGTCAATGGTGGAGTCCACAGCACCATGGTTGGCCCTCAGGACACACTCGATGACCTCATGCTCCATGCTAGGAAACATCGTCTTAAAGTCGTCCATAGCCTGGCTGAACTCCAAACGCCGAACCTGGCGTGGAGGCCTCCTGTTATTGAGCTCTCCTGAAGCGGCACTTCCATGTCTACTGTTTGCGTTACTCCGGCGGAAAAGGCTGGTCATCATTTATAGATCCTTCGTCTCAGTCAGAACCGCCCATCTACTGCTGAGGCTCCACCCCTCAACCTAAGCTCCGCCTCTGGGCACGCCCTGTTATCCACTCATGATGCCTGTGAATTGGGCTTCAGTATATAAAGAGGCCGCATTGGATAGACCTTTTGGCTGCAGATAGCTGAGGCTCCACCACATTCAGAGCTGTCTGGTACTCCCAGAATGCCTTGCTCTCACAGTTACCCTCAAGGCAAAGGATGAACTCCTGAAGACCTACATTAGAAAAGCTAAATGTTAAGCATTCATATTTTGTTCAGCAAAAAGAGAGCTAAAAAATGTAGATATAAACAGATTTATAGATATGAATACAGAATGTAGGCATGGAAGGATAGGGTGTGTGTGTGTGTATATGTATATATATTGTATATATATGTATATATATATATATATATATATATATATATATATATATATATATATATATATATATATATATATATATATATATATATATATATATATATATACTGTGGCACAGAGTTAGACCTCTTTCTTGACTTGACACAGAAACAGCAACCTATGCAGAATGACATCACTTTTTTGCAGAGACCCTATTGGTTACATGCTGGCAAAGTGGAACACAGAAGAAGCTTGAAGCGGAGAGCGTGAGTATATTTGCGGTCTGGAGGTATTATTAAGTTGATAACCACAACATTGTCATAGCAACTGTGGGATATGTAAACTTAGGATTGTCTGCCAGGTTTTTTACGTTGAGGACCTATTTGTTTTTATATTAGATTTTTTTTATATTGACTGTTGCACTAAAATCCAAAAGTGAAGAATTGATTTATTACTTGATTGTTCAAGCTACCCTACAGAAGTTGTTAAATTTTAAAATAAGGTGAATTAAATAAAAAATAAGAAACATCCTGGATCTGTTTCTTCGCTTTTCTTTATTCTTTTTTTTTACGTATTATAGAAGTATCGGATTGGGTTTTGGTAGATACTCAAAATCAAATGACTCAGACTCAAACTCGAGGGCAAAAAAACCTTGTTGGTACATCCATAATGTACATACTGTACACATGTTTTAAATCACATCCTTATTAAACCAATTTACCTGATTACTAGCCCTAAATTGCTCCAGACCCAACTGTTTTTGGAATGTATTGCAGGTCTGAATGATAGGAAAGAATGAATATTTACAAATGAAATTAAGTTGACCAGGCAGATGTCTGCAGTGAAATAAAAGTAAAAAAATCACTACTTGAAAATCACTACTTTCTTTTTATATTTGTGCTTTTTATACTGTCTCTGGTGTTGATTTGGGGTTGTATATATATATATATATTATTATGATATCGGCTGTTTATTAGTGTATGTGTAAATTATATATATATATATATATATATATATATAATTTACACATACACTAATAAACAGCCGATATCATAATAATAGGCAGGAATATAGGTAAACTGTAATGTTATACATTGATATAATGTAGACTATAGATAATGTGTGTGCTATTAGTATGTAATTATTTATTATTATTGTTATTTATTCATATTTTGAATTAGATTCAGTTTTTCAGTTTAAATTTACACTTTAATATTACATTTTACGTTTTGAACATTCATTTATTATATAATACAGCTATACAGACAGACAGAATTATAGACAGATAGACAGACTAATAAAGACTGATTAATAATGTAACATCAATTCATCTACAGTAACAATCTATTTTTAATCATAAACCATAGACACACACACACACATATAAACAACATGAGTCATACAGTTTATGGCTCTCACTGGACATTATATTGATCAGGATCATTAACAAGACACCACAAGTACTAAACTCTTTCATTTCCCCCCTCACTCCATAAAAGCTCATCCACCGAACTCACAGATTCATACAACAATCACACAAGTACACAGTCCTCCATATACCCATATAAATATATATATATATCCTACCTGGTGTCTGTGTGCCGAGAGGATACAGACTTGCACCACACGATCCACCAGGAAGAGACTACAGCCAGCAGGATAAACCTTTAGCTCCCATCACAGGCTCTGTACAATCCGTCATCGGAGAGGTCTGGATATCCCTCGCTCCCATTTTCATCTCTCCACATTAATCTGCACCTAAAAACCAAACAGTGCAGTGCTAAATATAGCCACAGACTCCGGCACAGTTTCGCACAGCAGCAGCAGCAGCAGCTCAGGGATGCGTTTCTGAAGAAGGGCGGCTGTGCCCTTGCGAATAACATACAGCAGAGGGCTGACGTCACCCATAGTTAATACGCACGCTGAGCTGATAACAGTTAAGCAGGGGGTCTGCGACTGTGACCCACTGAGATGGATTAGAGACACGCGATGCAGGATCTGATTGACAATTGTGAAAGAGATCTGATGTTGGCTGATGTATCGGCGTAATGGGGCCAATCGTCCTTCTGGTGCAAAACTAGAAGGAAACTTGTTATTTTAAATTACGGCCATCATCAGTGGTCAATGTGGTCTCCATGGTGACGAATATGACTATCAATCTGGCTGTCGATAGAGCAAGTGATTCCCATTCCTTAAAGGGGTCATAAACTTCTGACATAAAAGAGGTCACTGGGTTATTATAACCTCCTGTACGTTTTAGAAAGCAAGACATCAGGTTTAGGGCTGCATGATACTGGAAAATCTGATATTTTCAATCTGATATGAATACAGTTTCAGCATTTTTTTTTTGGTTTGGTTTCACATTAAGGAGTCTAAAAGTATTCAGAATAATCATACTACAAAAAATGTTTGTCTTACTTGAGAATTTTTGGCCTCTATCATACATCCGACGCAATAAGCTGCAAAACATGTTTGGCGCGATTTGGTGCTATTTTCAGACCCGCGCAACTCAAATTTTCATGTTTTGCACCATGTTGTATAAAGGGCCATGAAACCCCCCTCTTTCGGCTCAAGTCTACCTCAGAATTTAAAAAATAAATGCATTATAATGTGCGTGGAACTCTGCGAGCAGAGAGAGGAGTGGACATGGCCAGCGGAGCAGGGGAGAGAGGGGAGCAAACAACTGACTGTTGACTGACTGTTGTCAGTCGGCTCACAAAATGCGACACAAACTGTGAGGAGACGCATGATTTTATAGGTTACAAAGTTAAAATACAAAGAAATAAACAGTCATTTAATGTCCTGCTACATTTGTTATTCAGAATTTCATATACACACAACAACAATTTAAATCATCATAAAGATAATCGTGTTCATATAAACACTATAAATGAGGAGGACTTCTCTCCTCCTGAATCACCGGGTCTGAATGCACAGTGGATAGCAGTGCAGCAAGTCTCTTGCCCTGTGTATTTGTGTAACCATTAGCCCTGCTGGTAATCTGAAGGATTATAAACATAGGCGAGCACAGCAGCACGGATTTAGGCGATGTGTATGAATGGTAACAAACTCAACTGATAAAAGACAAACTCCGCTATTCTTCAAATTCTCGTACAGCTCTCCTGACAAAAATCCTTGCTGCACACAAACAGCTTTGCTGCAGGCACATGCACACATAGGGCTCAACCTGTGCAATGCACATGCCCTTTTTAGTCTTAGATAGAAAGTGCCCTTTTAAAATGATCTGACCACCATGTAAAGAACAAATGCACCATGGCACGATGTAACTCTTAAAGGGAATGAGATGAGACTCTGATTAATTTAATGCAGGTTATGGTCAAAACACACACATAACTCATTAAGAGAATAAGCACAACCCTGTTAGACCAAGCGTTGGGGTGCAGATTGTATTTTTCTGTCCTTAAATTAGCAAAAGGGGATTCCGACACGCCTTTAATAGAAACTAAAAACTAGTTAAAATAGAGCCCCTTGTCTCATTTCCAATTCAAATATTTTTACAAATTAAATCGAGCAAAAATATATTTTTTTCACTTTTATAAATAATAATTCAAAATTAAGTGAGTTTTTTATTTTATTTTAAAACAAGCTAAATATTAAACAAATTGGGGGAGATTCCCTTCCAGCTGCAATACAGTACTGGGAAACACCCATATACAGTACTACTCATAATACACACACACACTATGGCCAATTTTGTTTACCCAATTTCCCTATAAATTGTGACATTTGCAGAAATTAGTAATTGCGCAATACCTTCATTCCCCCGTCGCCATTCATACTGTGTTTAGAGGAGTGACAGGTCAGAGGCGAGTTAACTCGCTGTCCGAAAGAAGACAGCGAAACGTGTATGTAGATTATCAAAATGGCAGGAAATATGTCCGCGATTTAATTACTCTTGCTGGAAATATCTATAGTGAAAACATTCGAGAAGCATTATTCCAACAAAACATTTGTTTTTGGGTTGTTATTTCTGTCTCTGCAACACGGAAAGCCTTTGTCCCGCCCTTACGTTTCACGCAAAACTAGACAAGGTCGACTGTGATTGGCCACTTTTTACATCAGTCGAATCACTGCTTCAGAATCAATTCTTAAGCTTCGGAAACTGAATTTTAGCAGCTTACGACACAATGCACTAAAATAAACATTCTAAGCACAGCGTTGTGATCGTAATCTTCAGAAAACAGCCAATGCTGATCACATCGATGTTATAGTACGGATCAAAGGATTAAAAATGTTAATTGTTTTTCATTATTCAGCGATTCCTCCGCGTACCACTAGGAGAAAGCCCGCGTCCCACAGTTTGAGAACCACTGGTCTAGGGGGTCGACTCGAGATCGCGATCTTTTTACGATTATTTGTGCAGCTTTATTATCCAGCATATGTTTTAAGCAGTGGATGCCCTTCCAGCTGCAACCTATCACTGGGAAACACTCATACACACTCATTCACACACATACACTACTGACAATTTAGCGCATACCCAATTCACCTATAGCCCATGTCTTTGGACTTGTGTTGGAAACCAGAGCACCGGGAGGATAACCACGACAGCATAGGAAAAACATGCAAACACCACACAGAACTGACCCAGCCGAGGCTCGAACTAGCGACCTTCTTTCTGTGAGGCGATCGTGCTACCCACTGTGCCACCGTGTGAAATATACAAATTTTGAACAGCATTTTTTTGTGTGTGTCAAAATTTACTGCTTTGTGTTAAATAAAAAAGTTAATAAATCAGCTCCATATGCTGAGTTCAGTATTACGGTGAACAGATAATTCAATTTTTTGATGCTCTTTGGATAAAATATCCCTTAAAAATGATGATTGGCGCGGGATGTGAAGAGTGAAGCTGGCACACGTACGACGGCCCGGCCATTAATAACAAGCTATAAACAACGCTTTTAATGAAATTTACAAAGCGCACCCAGCCAAAACAATCCCCAGTTTCCATTTCTCTATTACCATGCCAAATTCGCTTGCGTTTCTGGCTGAATCAGCGGCCAAGAGGAGAGAGAAATCCAAGCGGGCAGATTGTGCTGTCTGACAAGGAGAGCTGTTATCACCACAGGAGTCGTCTGTGGGTTAGTGCTTGTGTCAGTACACGCGCCTGCTGTCTGCGTATAAAAGTAGCAGCACGTTCACTGGCATCTCTCTACGCTGCGCTATCATTAGACCTAATGGGCCCCAAACCCAGGAGGATACATTCCAGGAGTTTTTGTAAAAGTTGAGCCTGAAGAAAAGGGGAGCAGTTGCGTGGTGTGCGCTGAACCAAAAGCATGAGCAGGGCTTTGACACTGTCCTTGTTTCTGACCTGGTTTGGCTGAGATAGAGAGAGAAAAAAGAAGAGAGGACAGGAGGGAACAGTGCTGTGGTGACTACTGCACTTTAACAATGTCCTTTAAAGTGCACCGATTTGGCTTTTTGAGATGGTACTTTTAATGAGGTGTACTTATATGCGGTATTGTTGTTTAGTATGGACCCTTTTAACATTTCTGAGTTTCTCAGTTATGGAATTCGTCGAAGTTTGGTAAACTTAGGCTGTATCCAAAAGCACCAACTACACAGTAGGTACTCTATTTTAATTTAAATGTACTACTCGGCCGTTAGAAAAGTATGTTCTATACCAGGGGTCTCAAACTCAATTTACCTGGGGGCCGCAGGAGGCAAAGTCTGGGTGAGGCTGGGCCGCATAAGGGATTTCACAAAAAAAAGTCCTCAAATGTCATTATTAACAGTTTTAATTATTTCTTCTGAACATGAAGTGTCCTGAACATTAATAGAACATTGAGTGAAGATTATGAACAGTTCTTCTGAACATGGCATCTTTTGCCTACTTCTTGCTGCCAGAGACTTGACAGCGCTTCGTCTCACAAATCTGAACCACATTTGGCTTTAGAGCGGAAGCAGTTGAGACCCTCAGTATGGATTGAAGATGATCATCATTAAGTCTAGACCTGTACTTTGACTTATTGAAGTCCTAGGGAAAAAAGTGGGGGAACTCACTCAAAACTTCCATTCCCTCACCTAAAAAAAAAGGCGTATATATGTATAAATAAAACACCCCCACCCCACTCCAGTCACATCAGTCTGTATTTACCTATATATATATATATACCTATATAAGATGCAGGGCAGGCACGTGCACACATAGGGCTCAACCTGTGCAGAGCACATGCCCTTTTTAGTCTTGCATAGAAAGTGCCCTTCCAAAATGATCAAAAGTGCCTCCGCGAAAAGACACACCCTCGCTCCCGCCCTTCAGTAGGCGCGCGATAACATCGCTCTTGAGTACACGCGCGACAACACAGCTGATCAGAACGTGCGCGACAACGCGCATTGAGTGACAAGCGCGCTGTGTACGGATAGAATCAGCGGAGCGGGGAGCGCTCTCTCTCCCCGCTCCGCTTATTCTGTCAGAGTACAGCGGTCGGCGCGGGCCACAAAATATTGCACTGAGGGCCGCAAATGGCCCGCGGGCCGCGAGTTTGAGACCCCTGAATGTGAGTAGCATGGATGGAACTCAGACGTACTACATCCGCCACTTTGTCATCATCACATAACCTACCCATGTTAGTTGCATCCCTTTACTCCCATTTCTCACGGTGCATCATGGGATAGCGTAGCGTCTATCCGATGTGCACTTCAGATTCTCACCGGTAGTAGTAGGTCATCTGGGTACTTCTCACATACTGTTTTATCGAAATCTATATGTACGTTCCAAATCACATACTTACACTCACTGGCCATGTTATCAGGTATGCCTTACTAGTACCGGGTTGGACTCCCTTTTACCTTCATAACTGCCTTAATCCATTGTGCCATAGATATGACGCAATGGGTACATTGCGGTCATACAGGGATAGACATGGTCAGCAAAAATACTCAGGTAGGCTTTGGTGTTGACACAATGCTCAATAGGGACTAATAGGCCCAAAGTGTGCCTGATCAACCGGGATTTTCACGCACAACCATTTCTAGGGTTTATAGAGAATGGTCCGAAAAAGAGAAAATGTCCAGTTGAGCGGCAGTTCTGTGGGTGCAAATGCCTTGTTGATGCCGGAGGTCAGAGGAGAATGGCCAGACTGGTTCCAGTTGATAGAAAGGCAACAGTAACTCAAGAGAGCACTCGTTACAACCAAACTCTGCAGAAGAGCATCTCTGAAAGCACACCATGTCAAACCTTGAGGCGGATGGGCTACAGCAGCAGAAGACACCACTGAGTGCCACTCCTGTCAGCTAGGAACAGGAAACTGAGGCTACAATTCACACAGACTCACCAAAATTGGACAATAGAAGATTGGAAAAAGGTTGCCTGGTCTGATGAGTCTCGATTTCTGCTGCGACATTTGGATGGTAGGGTCTGAATTTGGTGTCAACAACATGAAAGCATGGATCTATCCTTCCCTGTATCAACGGTTCAGGCTAGTGGTGGTGTAATGGCATGGGGGTTATTTTCTTGGCACACTTTTACCCCATTAGTACCAATTGAGTATCATGTCAACGCCACAGCCTACTTGAGGATTGTTGCTGACCTTGTCCATCCCTTTATGACAACAGTGTACCCATCTTCTTTAGGCTTGGGCGGTATCCAAATTTTGATACCGTCAAACCTCCTCACTATTTTACCCTGCTATCCAAATTTTTATACAGTTAAACCTCCTCCCTATTTTACCTTGGTATCCGGTATTACCATGCATAAAAAAAAGAGAGACGCACAGTACTACGCTCTCTCTCTCTCTCTCTCTCTCTCTCATTAACTCACACACACAACCATACACACACACACACACACACACACACACACACACACACACACACATACATACACACATACAAACAGACAAAATGCGTGCTCCCTCGCTCGAGAGCAATATTGTTAGACCGCGCGCAAGCTCCCTTTCAAATTACAGGAGTTACTGACCGCTCCTGCACTTTATTCGGAAATTCATTCCCACACTCACTCTGGTTGGCTCCCGCGGTACAGCAGCGGGACCTCTGCAGACCTCTAGTTCGTATTTACCACGTCTCCCTTATCGTTTGGTTGAAACCGGAAATACTGCCAAACTTCAGGTCACTTGGTGCGCGACTCGCCACCTCACCTCACCTCTCTCTGTCCCGGGATGACAATCACTCATACGCATTTGTAGACACTAAATAAATAATATTTAATACTTGTCTCCAATTAAGTGCATTGTTTTTTATGACGGTATAATGGTATTGAAAATTAACTGTTTATTGACACCTATTTTTAGATCCCACGATATACCATATTACCGTATTACCACCCAAGCCTACTTCTGATGGCTACTTCCAGCAGGATAACGCCCCATATTATAAAGTGTGAATAATTTCAGACTGGTTTCTTGAACATGACAATGAAGTCACTGAACTCAAATGGCCTTCACGGTTACCAGAGCTCAATCCAATAGAGCACATTTGGGATGTGGTGGAACAGAAGATTTGCATCATGGATGTGCAGCCAACAAATCTGCAGCAACTGCGTTATGCAAATATGTCAATATGGACCAAAATCTGTGAGGAATATTTCCAGTACCTTGTTGAATCTCTGCCACGAACGATTAAGGCAGTTCTAAAGGCAAAAGGAGGTCCAACCTGGTACTAGTAAGGTGTACCTATTAAAGTGGCCAGTGAGCATACAGTACATGTTAATATTTTCTAGACAACAATTGTTTTGACTTCAGAACCAATATTTGGTGGAATAACCCTGATTTTCAATCTCAGTAAAGGAACACACATATTATTCTAACTAATAATAATGTTTAGAAAATTTTTATTTATGCATTCATCAGTTTCGTATTTATTATTTATTCATTTATAATAAATAATATAAAATTGGGAAGACACGTCATTAGACTTTAACAGAATAGAGCAAATATTAAAATTCCACCCAAACCCAATAAATCTAGTGAATACAGAGAATATATGCAAGCAAGTATATATACTAATAAAATAATAATTTAATAGATGCTCCATCCTTTAATTGTCACATACTGGCATAAATGGACCACACACACACACACACACATCTGAGTTTGCAAACTCCATCACCTCATACTGCAGGAGCATAACAGTAACCTAATTTAAGAGACATCCTCCACTAGCTTTTACATGGCGTTATTTCTACCGCAAAAACGCGATAGATCGCTGAGGCCTGTCTGGATAAAACCATGAACTGAAATATTTCTCAAACACTAAACCAAATCCTCCAACAGACACAGAAACGGAAGAGAGAAATCTTACCAGCTGAAGCTTTGATCGCATTACTCGACGCTGAATTCCTCCATGTTGTCCATAAACACATGTATAGCGGCAGACAGCGGTGCTCACAGCGGCAGATGGCGGCTCTTTATCGGCTCTTGAGCGCTTGATCCGTGGGCAGATTATCCTCCTCTCACCGCGCTCAAGAGCATCCTAGTGGATACAGGTGAGAAAAGCACCTCAGAGCTCTCCATTAAAGATTAACCCATACTAGCACTCCAGAGACGCACTTACTGTTCAGGCAAGTCTTTTTTATGAAATTAGAACTACGTTCGCACTCTTTTGGAGGATCTAAAAAAAAAAAAAACAATTCAATAAGATGTGGCATCCTTTTATTGATTATGTTTACCATATTAGTAATGCATAAGCTCTAATATTTTGTTTTTAATCTTAGTAACAGTTTGCAATAAGGTTGTATTAGTTAATGTTAGGTAATGCATTTACTAACATGAACAAACAATGAACAACACATGTATTACAGTATTTACGTTAGTTAACATTATTCCTTAACTCGGTGTATTATTGTTAACAAGCATGCATTTGCATTTTAATAAGGCATTAGCAAATGTTGAACTACGATTAATAAATGCTCTACAATATATATATATATATATAAATATATACACATAAAAAAATATATATAAATATATATAAATATATATATATATATAAAAAATATATATATATATATATTTTATATGTATATATATATATATATATATATATATATATATATATATATATATTTATAAATATATATATATATATATATATATTTATATGTATATATTTATATATATATAAATATATATATAAATATATATAAATATATACATATTAAAAAATATATATATATATATAATTGTTTTAATAACTCATTTCTAATAACTGATTTATTTTATCTTTGCCATGATGACAGAAAATAATATGACTAAACATTTTTCAAGACGCTTCTATACAGCTTAGTGTGACATTTAAAGGTTTAACTAGGTTAATCGGGTTAACTAGGCAGGTTAGAGTAATTAGGCAAGTTATTGTATGGTTTAGGGGCTAGAAATTTTGACTTTAAAATGGTTTTTAAAAAAAATGCTTTTATTGTAGCCAAAATAAAACAAAAGACTTTCTGCAGAAGAAAAAATACTATCAGACATACTATGAAAATTTCCTTGCCCTGTTAAACATCCTTTGGGAAATATATATATATATATATATATATATATATACATATATATATATACATGTACCGTTGAAGTCAGAATTATTAGTCCCCTTTGCATTTTTTTTCTTCTTTTTTAAAATATTTTCCAAATGATGTTTAACAAAGTAAAGAAATTTTCACAGTATGTCTGATGATATTTTTTCTTCTGGAGAAAGTCTTAATCGTTTTATTTCGGCTAAAATAAAAGCAGTTTTTAATTTTTTAAACACCATTTTAGGGACAAAATTATTAGCCCATTTAAGCTATATTTTTTCTGATAGTCTACAGAACAAACCATCGTTATACAATAACTTGCCTGATTACCCTAGCCTGCCTTGTTAACCTAATTAACCTAGTTAAGCCTTTAAATGTCACTTTAGGCTGTGTAGAAGTGTCTTGAAAAAATATCTAGTCAAATATTATTTACTGTCATCATGGCAAAGATAAAATAAATCTGTTATTAGAAAGGAGTTATTAAAACTATTATATTTAGAATTGTGTTGAAAAAAAATCTGCTCTCCATTAAACAGAAATTGGGGAAAAAAATAAACAAGCGGTCTAAAAATTAAGGGGGGCTAATAATTCTAATTTCAACTGTATATATACACACGCGCACACACACATATATACATACACACACACACACATTTTATATATATATATATATATATATATATATATATATATATATATATATATATATATATATATATATATATGTGTGTGTGTTTGTGTGTGTGTGTGTGTGTATGCATACATAAACACATACATATATGTATATACAACCCCCCCACAATTTCTGTTTAAGAAAGATTTTTTTAAATAAAAAATATATAGATTTAAATATTTTATTTCTGTCATGATGACTGTAAATAATATCTAACAATATATTTTTTAAGACACTTCTATACAGCCTAAAGTGACATTTAATAGGCTTAACTAGGTTAATTAGGTTAACTAGGTAGGTTAGGGTAATTAGGCAAGTTATTGTATAATGATGGTTTGTTCTGAATCAAAAAATATATAGCTTAAAGGGGCTAATAATTTTGACCTTAAAATGTTTTTTTTTTATTAAAAATTGCTTTTATTCTAGCCCAAATAAAACAAATAAGACTTTCTCCAGAAGAAAAATATATAGGATATAGTGAAAATTTCCTTTGTCTGTTAAACATCATTTGGGAAAATTTTAAAACAGAAAAAAAAATTCAAAAGGGGTTTAACAATTCTGATTGCAACTGTGTATACAGAACAAACCACTGTTGTCCAATGACTTGCCTAATTAGTAAAACCTTTGAATTGCATTTTAAGCTGAATACTAATTGCACAATAACTAGTACAATACTATGTACAGTCATTAAGGCAGACAAAAGAAAATGTTTGGACATAATTGTTATTTTAAAATGTCTTTAATACTAAATTTCCTATATTTTTAAATATAGTCCTTTTACTGCTTCATTCCCAAATGTTGACATGTAACCTCAAAATAAAAAGTCTAAATTATAAATATATTGGCTTCTTGAGCCATAACCAGCCTATACTTGTGTCTATAATAAATCTAAATTATTTATCGCTTAAGTGCTTGATGTTGCTAAAACATCCAAATGAGATGTTTTTCATGAATATGAATGAAGGCCGAGAAATGCTCTTCAAATACTAATACAGCTGCCTGTACTTACAGACACGGGCAGATGGTGAACAGCGGCGCCCCGAAAAAAGCGCAATTGTTCTTTCAATGGGCCTCATTGTCTTTTATCCCCGTTGTGAGGCGACAGTGAGGGGTGAAACAAAAGACCTTGAACCCGAAGCACCTGCTCGCGGACACGAGATTAAACCCCGCGCTGATTGTATTGGGATCCCGGGGGCGCGTCACGCCTGATCAAATGATGCGGCAAGCGTGAGGCCGTGAACGCTCACCAATGGCGCCAATGAAGATGGAAATGAGTCCTAACGACCGATAGGAGATTCGGCGAAGAAGAAAAAAGGCAGCATGTAAGATTAAGAAGTAGAGTGGGGGAAGGGGGACATTTGAACAGGGCCAGATGGAGAGCCATGAATTAGAGATGAAAGAGGATTTTTTTGGGGTTGTTGTTGGTTGAAGCATTGGGAAACTCTTTATATGAGATGTCCATGTATTGAAGTCAAGTGTTGAGGCAAAATATCTGATCCATTGCCTGATTGAGCTGATCTTTGAGTTCTTATTGGCTGCATGGAGGATTCACAGACTTCAAGCTAAATTTCTTAGTCATATTACCCTGATAAGAAGGGGGAGACTTTCTGTTGAGGGCTGTTTTCCTCACATTTTCAGACATTTGTTCATAGGATCAGAATTAATATAATTAGAATTAATTTGCTCCAACAAAATGTCCACATAACTATATATACACAACTGTAATAATGATGATGAAATAATATAACATAATCTGTTAACATATTTACAATATATAATCAATATATAAGTTAAAACAATATATAGAGCACCGCAGCATAATTAAGTATAACCCTGTAAAAACATTTTTTAATCAATTTCTCAGTGGTCACCTAACATCGTTAGGAATATAAATTCAACGCATTTAAATTCAAACGAGGTGTGGATAAAAATATACTACAAAATTAAATGATATAGATACAGCGGGGAAAATAAGTATTGAACATGTCAACATTTGTCTCAGAAAACGTATTTGTAAAGGCGCCGATGACTTGAAATTTTCTTCGGATGTTGGTAACAACCAAAGAAATCCATATATGCAAAGAACTACGCAAAACAAATTGGTTTACAAATTAAGTTATGCGTAATAAAATGACACAAGGAAAAAGTATTGAACACATGAAGAAAGGCAGTGAAAGCCCAGACAGCAGCTGAAATCTCTCAGTAGTTCTTCAGCAATCCTCTGCCCTTCCTCAGTGTAAATGAATATTAGCTGCTTCAGTCCAACATTTAGATTAGCAGGAGGATGAAGATGAAACCAGGCTGGACATTTCAGCAAGTCAATGATCCAAAACACAGCCAAGTAAACTCTCAAATGCTTTCAGAGAAAGAAAATCAAGCTGTGGAATGGCCTAGCCAATCACCTGACTATTCATCTGACTTTAATCCAATAGAAAATACAGCAGGTTTTTTTTTTTTGGTTTCTCTTAATTTTCCCTTCTCAAAATTGTAGTTAATTTCCCCCAACATTTAATGTGGTGTACCTATTTAAGTTATTTCATTAGATTAGTTCCAGTTTTGGTTGTTGTACTGACTACCGTAACATTAAATTTAACTTGAGTGATATTTTTTGGTCTTCCACGACTGCAGAGAACCGGTCAAAACAAGCAGCTTGAAGATGCAATGAAAGCAACAAAAAACTAATGTTAACATATTAGTTCTACAACAGACAAAAGTGTGCACTGTAAATAATCGCTGACAGATTTCTCTTATGCTGTGTTCACACCAGACGCGGATATATTGTGCTACTCACACGTAAATAGATGCATGAACATTTTAAGTTCACTCACTTAATTCGCGCGTCAAATCCGCTTCATTTGCTTCACAATAGATGCGGATTTGCGTGATGGGCAGGGTTCTGTCTGCCCAGTGACTCTAGCTTCTTTGCTAAGTGGCTAACATGGATTTTATTGTAAGAATAGCTGCGTTTATGTACTTTAGGAAGGCTGAAAAACAGTGTTGATACGTTTGGAGCCGTGTCTGTGTCCACTAGATACTTACAGGGGTGCACCTAGCTCTGTGTCCTCCAGAAACCTAACCTGGATGATCGAAGCTTTCAGCGGTGCTTCTGACTAAGCCAAGCCCAGTTTGATGAACTGTTGTCAGTGTCAGCAGGAAGATTTTCCCCTGGGACACCAACAACAGGCGGTACGTCATAATCATGCCCCCACAAAAGCAAGCGCCTGATTGGTTAACGCGGCGCGAATGACCGCTGAAGTCCAGATTTTTGAACTCGAGCGTTAATTGCGCAAAAGCTCAACTCGTGCCACATCATTCGCGTCTTTGCATTGACTTAACATGTAAATCACTCAAGCTTGATGCTTCTGCTTCTGGTATGAACGCAGCATTAAAACTCACATACAGCCCATTGTCTTGCCACTGGCTTGCTTGGTTTGGGACTTGTGGAGCTGCACATCGCAGGATTTGCTTTTCAGTGTTTGGACTTTCAGCAGTGAAAATTAAACAACACTGAACTGAACTAAACTGAGCTTCAACTCTGAAAACTGAACTGATGCAGTTTCAATTTACTAAAACCTCTATGTTACGTTGCTTTGACGCAATTAACATTGTTAAAGCGCTATGAAAAAAAAGATGAATTGAATATGTTTTACAGTTTTTTATTCAGACAACCCAAATAAAAGGCACATAAAACATTGCGCATGTTTACATAATTATTTCTGACAAACTTACATTTACAAAAAATGTAGGAATGTTTTCCTTTCTGCTACTCAGAAAGCCTAGTCTTCATATATACAAAATTACCATTGTTAATGTACTAATACAAAAGTTTTATAAAAGGTTATTTTGCTTCTCTTTGCTCACATTTCTATCTGTACTCTAAGATCCTCCGAGCTAAACAACTTCTGTACAAACATATACATTCAACCGCTTTCACAGGGGCTCTGAAAGTCATCCAGTTCATCGACTGAATCAAAGCAACATTAGTCGCAAAATCTTCACTTCATTGGATTTCATAATTGGTTTTGAATTTGGCAAATAAAAGAGGCATCCCATCCGTAATGCACCTACCGAAAGATGCACACATTCGCACTTTCCCATTAACTAAACTATGGAAACATGCTTTAGTTTGTTCTAGTGTGGTGGACGAATCAAACGCCTCACACAAATATACACACGTGGATCAGGGATTCATTGTGTCTGAAAGTTTCCCCTATCCTGAGACTCAGTGCTGGGGTGGACGGCATCCATTCAGACACTCCTGATCGTCACTTCACAGGCAAAAATTGCATACAAATCAAATATTTAGTGTTTTTTATTTCACGACAGCAGTCTCTTCTCTCTGGCTCTGCGTGTAGAGGAAGCGGCTGACACAACGTACCGAATTCAATCACATTGGCGGAAGATTTGTGTAGTGAATGACAGCTTACTCAGTTATACTGTTCAGTAATAATTGTTATTATCTCACGATTATCACACTCTTTAGTCAAAACAGATCAGCATGTGAGCACCCGCCGCAGTGTAGGAATATCCAGAGGCGGCCTGTAAACATTCTTCATTATTTCAGATTCTAAACGGTGCTTCTGGGCTTTAGCTACAGGTAAATACTATCACCTACAGAGTCCAAACCAAATGGAGAAAACTTGATATTAATAACAGGAACCAAATAAAATAAGCAGGATGGCACTGCTTTGAAAATAACATGTAAAAAAGTAATCAAATAAATATACAAAAATAAACGTGAAAAAACCTAGAAATCTAAATCAAAACAAATAAAAATCTAACTATTTACAAACAAACAGGAATAATTCCGAAACAATATCCTGAAATTATTCTTGTTCATTTCCTATGCTCAGCCCATTTCCTATGCCAAACATTAAGAAATAGATGAAAAAGAGATTAGAAAATGGGTTTAAAGACAAACTCAAGTTTGAATAAGAACTTAAACGGTGTCAATGTGGGACTCCAACCACTAGATGGCACTGTTTTAAGTGAGCCATTTATCTGTTTGTTTATAGCTCATAAACCTTGAACAAGATGACACACTTTGCCATCCCAGCCCAATCCTAAATGGCAACCTAAACCCTTACCACCATGTCTACACTTTTGCGATGTAATGCTGTGTTGACGGTGAGGTAGAAGCTTGCCTGGCTTGGCCACTCATAACCAACCTTTGAATATAAGGAGCATAGGTCTCAAACTTGATTCCTGAAGGGCCGCAGCTCTGCAAAGTTTGGCTTAAACTCTAATCAAACTGATCCACCTAATCAAGGTGTTCAAGACTACTAGAGACTACAGGTGGAGTTGGAGGTGGTTGGAGATGAACTGTGCAGAGCTGTAGCCCTCCAGGAATTGAGTTTGAGACCATTGATTCAATGGTTCCAAAAACATCCCTTTACATCCATGGAACCTTTTGGATCCTAATGTTTAGGAGGGAGTATTTTAAGCCAAGACCATTGCCCTAGAACAATGGTGTCCAAAGTCAGTCCTGAAGGGCCGGTGTCCTGCAAAGTTTAGTTCCAACCCCTATTAGATACACCCGAACCAGCTAATCAAGCTCTTTCTAGGTATACTAGAAATTTCTAGGCAAGTGTGTTGAAGGAAGTTAGAACTAAACTATGCAAGACACCCCTGTCCTAGAGGTTTGTAGATGTAACATGCACACAAGGGCACTTGCAAGCACCCTTCTAAAAACTTCAAACAAACTAAGTCCTGAAGGGCCACCTCAAACTTGCCTAGAAGATTATAGCCTAGTAGGCATAGGCCTAATAAGGCCTTGTTTAGCTAGCTAAGGTGTTGTTTTATGCTAATTTATGTTTAGTGGTCTAAAAAATCCCGGCTTTACAACCTTATGGACTTAGTGGACATGCACATTTGGCGACCAAGTACCTAATACTGCAGGTGCAGATTGAATGTGCTATTTGGGATTGGGTCTTAGGTAAAGTAATGCTCCACCGAGTAGAATGCTCTTAAGTAGTACTGATTATAGAGTCTGCACCAAGATAGACAAGTGCCCTTCAGTGTGGGACAGGACATCCTACAGCAGGGGCGCCCATTCCTGTTCCTGGAGATCTACCTTCCTGCAGAGTTTAGCTCCAACCCTTATCAAACACAATTAAACCAACTAAGTAGGAGCACTTTGTAATTAAAGACAGATGTGTTTGATCGAGGTTGCAGCTGAACTCTGCAGGCAAGTAGATCTCTAGAAACAGAATTGGGCATCGCTGTCCTACAAATTAATGAACTTCACATGCACACAAGGAAACTTTTGGATACCCCTGCTCCATGTTTTTTAGGATAAATGCAATGTAAAGACTGCAAGGGCACATTAAGTGTGCTGCCTACTGGGCCTTCGGTCAAGTAATTCTCTAGAGTCTGTAAAGTAGTAAAAGACAGTACCAAATTTGCCACTTGCAAGTATCCTTCAGAATGTTAAAATGATGAATGGGACCCTCTATGACAGAGGCGTCCAAACAGTACTGGAAAGCAATTGTCCTGAAGAGTTTAAAACTTGACTCAATACACCTGCCTAGACTTTTTAACATGTCAAGTAAGACCTTGTTTACCTAGTTCAGGTGTTAGGTTTCGATCTAAAATGTGCAGGAGAGTGGCCCACTAGGAGAAGGACTACAGTAGTCAACATCTGAAATGGATCAAAACCTTTCATCAATGTTGTCTTAAAACTATTCAACAACAGCCAGTTTCTAATCCACTTCCAATGTTGATAATTTTTGGAATTTGGAAGTTGCTAAGAATTCAGTTCACGTACTTCCAACTGAAATAGAATACTGAGTAGGGGGTGGGGCTTCTTTTTGCACATTCCCTCGTAGTAAACCAATGGAAAGAGGGGCGTGGTTAAGAATATTCTGGCTGAAGTGTCAAACTGACATCATCAGAGGAGTGCCACTCCACATAGAAAGTGAATGGTCAGACTTTGATTTAAGATTACCAAAACAACTTTTTTTCAGTGTATTAACTTTCATAAATTGTTCACCTAAACAAAAACAATGTGCGGCAGCAAAATGAACATTGTAAATTTTGATTTCACAAGACTTTAAACATCCCCACGTCTGACCACTGTAAGTCAGCAAGAATGTAAGCGCACACATGTTGGCAATTCGGGATCAGACCTTTGGTTGAGTAATGCTCATCAGAGTGTTGAGTAGCAGTCTGCTATGAAGTGTGCATTAAACAGGGCACTTCATTTGAAACCTTCTAAAAGTAAAAATGATAAATGGGACACTATAGATCAGTCCAAACTTTGTTCTGAAAAACCCTTCTCCTATAGAGTGTAGCTTGAACTTTTCACAATATATCTACCTGGAAATTTCTAGCACAAGAGCTTGGGACCTTGCCCATGTCCGAATTCGCCTACTACTCAGTAGGTACTACATATGAATTCAAATTACTATACAACGAAAATTATATTCTATGCCAGGGCTTCTTAAACTCAGTCCTAGAGGTCCGGTGTCCTGCAGATTTTAGCTCCAACTTGCTTCAACACTTCTGCAAGGATGTTTTTAGAAAGCATAGTAAGAGCTTGCCTAGCTGGCCAAGGTGTGTCTGATTGGGATTAGAGCTAAATTTGCAGGACACCGGACCTCCAGGACAGAGATTGAGAATCCCTATTCTATATAGTATGAATTACATTTGCCATTTTTTGTTATCACATGACCTACCCAGGTCAGATGTGCCGCTTCACTCCCATTCATGAATTCCCTCAGGTGGCATCATGGAATAGTGTAGCGTCTATCAGGTGGGAATTTTAGAATCTTGGCAGAAGTAGTAGGTCATCCGAGAACTTCTCGCCTACTGTGTTAAGAATTTTATGAATTTGTACATACTACACGGCTCGCATACTGTTTTAGCGTACTATATAGTATGGAAGTATGCAATTTCTTGATTTGGGTGTTTTTAACTAGACTTGGAACCAAAATGTGCAGGACAGTGGCCCTCCAGGATTTGGTGAGCAATTTAAGTCCATAAGACGCCATTGCACAAGAAATGTGCCATTTGGGATTGGGTCACTTCATGAACTGTTCATTAGTATTGACTTTGAAGTCTGCACCAGAAGGGGCTCTTGAATGGTTTGATTTTACGCACACACGCACGCACGCACGCACGCACGGACACACGCACACACGCACACACGCACGCACGCACGCACACACACACACACACACACACACTGCAGCCAATGTAGGTTCAGAAGACTGCAAGAGCACATGAAGTGTGCCATCTGAGATTGGGCCTTTGGTAAAGTAACACTCCACTAATTGTTGGACAGTAGTCGGCTATGAGGTCTGCAGCAAAGGGGCTGCTCTTGAGCACCTTTGTCAACCATAAAATGACAAACAGGACAGTCTGCGGTCTTCATGGAGGCCACAAGATCACAGGATTAAGTGCACCATTTGGGACAGAGCCATATTACCACAAAGGTCATATTTAGATAATACTGTGTCTTTAAACTAGGGATATGCGTTCAGTGCAAGACTCACCTTCTTTCTTCCAAACATTTTCTTTTGTATGCAAAAGAAAACATGCAACAGCTAACAATGGCAACGTAAACAATAAGAGAGCAAAGCTGCCCTCCCCTTGCAAAAACTAAATAGTTGTAAACGGTGTCCTGCCGAACACTATTAAAAAAGAAAGAAAAAAAAGTTCCTCTTTAAAAGTAGCCACACGTATACACTCATGCACTCACACCCCTGCACAAAAGTAAAATAACAACAACATCCTCGCTCTCAATGGAAGCAACAGTCCATTTTAAACGAGATTCCTTAAAATACTGATTAGCAGGTTGAACTTCAAATTCATCGAAGATCCCGCTGGCACTCTGCTCATTTAAAAAGAAAAAAAAAAGTTTTAAATGCACATCTATTATTGCATTTGTCTTTAAAAACGTCCATCATCTGGATTTGAAGTGCTCAGAGGAGCTTGCGAAACGCCCAGCTATAGAGCTGCTTGCCTGGTGGGCAAAATGCAAACATTTTTGAAGGCCAGAGAAAGTTTGATCGACCCATGCAAATCTTCCACTAGTGTTGGAATGTAGCCGTGAGGTTTTGTTAGCACCACACAGGCGTCATTTGCACAGACGTCAGGGCAAAAAGGCTGGTCAGGGCTTCGGGTCTACCACGGAGAAGACGGCAGGACTTGAGACAGAAACGGCATGCTGTCCATAGGTCTCATGGCGATGTTGAGCGGGGTGGCGATGTTCATAGGCATTGGCGTGGTGATGGCCACCGGATGGGCGATGTTCATGGGCGCTGAGGCTGGGATGTTGACAGAGGCGATGTTTACAGGGCCGGTGATGGTAACTTGGTGCTGCAGGCTGACTGGTGACGTGATGTTGACGGTGTTGGTGGAAATGTTCATCTGGGCTGCGATGGTTACGGGGTTGCTGGTGTTTCCACGGTTCATTGTAGAGGTGATGGGGGCTGCAGGCGTGACCGGCGTGCTGGAGGCAGAGTTGCAGACTTCAGTGTTGTCTGTGAAGGAGAAAAAAGAGATATGAGAAGAGTTCAAGTGTGTTGAGGGCTTGTATGTGCTTTGCTCCCAAACTCTCTGGGTGTCTAGACTGGTGCGTCAAATGTTTGGAAGGTGATCCCGGACAAAAATATTCCAATGAAATGTGTGAAATTTGATTGTGCGTACAGTTTGACTGTGTTCAGGCAGGAATTTTATTATTTTAGAGACCATTTCAATATGGTGATGCCATTGAACATTTCATGCTTGTTGTCAAACTATTTTAATAACTGTAACAAAAGGCAATTTAATCATACCTCAACATTAACCCTCTGGGGTCTGAGGGTGTTTTGGGGCTCTGGAGAAGTTGACATGCACTGACATTTGTGTTGTTTTCAGTATCTTAAAAACATATAAATGGCTAAAGTGTGATAACTCTGTAAACAGCACAAGTCGGGCTACAATAATACCTAAGCAGCATGTTTGTATGTGTTTGTGTTTTTGAGAAAGAAACGTTTATGCATGGTTAGTGAAAAACTAAAATTTTGAAGTCACCGAAACAAGGCCATGAAACACAAGGAGAAAATTTGTGCACAAGACTTTTGAGAACTGGATCTGGTAGTCTAGTGTTTTTGCTTCAAAATGATGTGAGAATCATCTTGTTCACTTGCTCACAGAAAACAATATAATGAATTAAAATTTCTAAGTCACTTTTTAAGTGAAATTGGTTTATGCGGGAAGGTGTGAACTATCATTACTATGCAGTGAGTCACACCAGAGAAGACAAAGACCTGCATAATGAGCCATCAGACAGGTACAGTATGCGACTAGGAGGGAAGAGTTTCAAGAAGGAATCAGAGGAAAGTTTATTTACTTTTTTGTTTGCAGTTAATTTAAAATATATTAAATCACACAAAATACAGAGATACACTTGTGAGAGTCAGTAAACTCTATAAAACTCTGCAAACTTTTAAACTTATACACATAGCAAATATACAGATTTTTATTTTTAATTTATTTATTTATTTAATTTTTTTGTAAATGAAGAGTTTTGTAGCAAAATTAGATATATCCATTTTGAGAAATGTTGGTTATTTGACATTATTATTTAAGACATCAACAGTCAAGTTCATTCACAATTTTATAAATTAAACTATTACTTGAGCTCAGTGAAGTCCAGGATCACAATATTCTTCAAATCCAGGATATTTTTATTTAACTTTGTCTATAAATGGTTTATAAATAAGTCAAAACATGCCGAAATGCAACATATTATCTTAACATTATCAAACATCTTAATCGGTAAAAAAAAAAACAATACATTATAATATATGGAATAGTATACAAAGTTTGAATAATAATAATAAGATTCTGAGTTATTTTTGGTAATCTCATATTAGAGCAATGTTATTTTAAAGAATGATAATTAATCCATATTAACAAAATTTACTGTAAGCTATCCTACTGTGATAGGATAATCCGTAGAGTCCTTACTTTTATATGGATTACATAAAAAGACATCATTTGTTTCGACTTGAATTGGTTAATGCAAAAGTAGACATATCAAGCTTTATATAGATATCAGAAATCATAATCAGACGCTTGTAATAACAATGCCTAGTGGGCGTGGTCGCATTAAAACTAATGAGATCAGACTGAGAAACTAGACATAGCGTTGGTTTTATACCGATTACTTTATCAAGCAATGTTTGTTTTCAACATGCATAGCTGCGTTTAAAAGTAGACACTTTAAGCTTTCTAGAAATACATGTCTCATCTGTGTGCGTTTTGTATTCGCAGAGCGCATTTTACAGACGAGTTTCTAAAAGCAGATCACGGAGAGAGAAAAGACAGAATGCCTACACTTTTTGTTTTCCTTATTTTGCAAAAGCACACACGTTTGTTGTTGTTGTGAGTGTACACAACAAAAAGTAGACACATAACAGATTCAATTGATGCATTGATCTTATCTGTACGATCAAAACTGAAAGTGTTATTTAAGTTCATTTCAGCAGTTTGACGCCACCACAGGTCAAAACGCGTATACGCGGTCTTCGACCCCCGAGGGTTAAAATAGATGTCATAACATTATCAATATGTGGACCTTTTCGGATTCTCAGGAGCTATGGAAAATAAAAATGTCAAACGGGAAAAACGTTAGGACCATTGTTATTATTTAAATCCCTCAAAACGGTCTATATCAGGGATCACCAAACTTATTCCTGGAGGTCCGGTGTCCTGCAGATTTTAGCTCCAACCCTAATCAAACACACCTGATCAAGCTAATCAAGGTCTACTAGGCATACTTGAAACACCCATTCAGGTGTGTTGAGGCAAGTTGGAGCTAAACCCTGCAGGGCACCGGACCTCCAGGAACGAGATTGGTGACCCCTGGTCTATATAAAAAGACAAAATAATGTCTGATGTTTGCATACACACATGCAAGTTCAACATTATTCTGATGTTTGTAAAAGCATATCTCTCAACCTATGAGATCACATATGCAAATACTGTCTCAAATCAAGTCATTTCATTGGCTGTTGCACTTGCTGCCTCTGTCAAAATATGGATCCTGATCACATTTCACACATTTCAGCTATTTTTATTGATACTTTTGGCCTTCTCAACAGCCTTCCATACAACTGTTCCTGCAGATATATTGCAAACATTTGTAGCTCAAAATACAGAGCGTGCCTTTAGATTCCCTGTGAACACAAGAACCAATAAAGTGTATCTGGAATATAAGCTCCGCCTGACAAACACAAAACATAACAGTAAACAGAAGAGAGCAAACAGTTTTTGTGTGTGCATATCTGTTTTTCCACCTTTCTTTTTTTGTTTTGCTTCATTTTTACCTTTTCGGAGCCCTGAGTGGTTCCACTGCCAATCTCCTATTTAGAAACAGACAGATGGTTATGATGGGCAGGCAGATGCCTGCAGTGATGCATTATGGGACTTTTATCAATGCAGGGCTGCAGCAGTGTGAATTCAGACACTAGTATACTTTAATGTTCATTAACTACCATAAACAGGTTTATACTTTTTTTAATCCAATTTAACAGAGACTACGACTAAAAGAACTTGACTTAAATGTAGGTTTAACACAAGTTTAAAACTCTATCAACAGCATATGTGACTTATGGGAAAAAACAATAATATTTCTTTAAATAAATAAATAAATAAATAAATAAAATACCAGAATGCCTTGCTCCATGGACTGAAAGGGCATAACCTGAAAGGACAACATAAAATAATTCACAGCAATATAAATCATATTATCATATTCCAAAAGTATTAAAACAAAATGTACATTTTTCTTGAATTGCAGTGAGACAAATTTTACACAATGTTTTATGAAAATAATATAATTTTATTTTATTATTATATATTTTAATATAATTAGTTATTTTCACTGAAATGAAAGACAAAATATAATTATTATAATAAAAATTATATTTGGGATGCACAATATATCGGCGGCCATATCGTTATAGGCCGATAACTACTATTTTTAATGGTATCATTATCTGTCTGATATCTTTAAGCCAATAGATTACGTAACAGTACAGAACCGCCTGCCTCGCGCAATCCAGTGCACTATAACTTTTCTCGCATAGTTTATTCCTTTCTTTCTTTCTTTCTTTGTGTGGTATCGCTGCGCGTTAAAAACGCAGTAACCATATTCCTTATCACTGTAGATATGTTTAACAGGCTGTCATTGTGTATTTTGGTTTAAATCGCCTTAGGAAAAACATTACATGTGTAAACATAATAGCAGCAATGCACACGTGCTAAACAACTCATTGGGTTGTTTGTAATCTAATATGATTATTTATAATTATCATGTTGCTTGCCATGTGTTGCTGATGTAAGATTGTATTCAGTTCAATCTGTATTCATAATGAGCACATGTGATGGTTATCACTACATACACATATAGTGAGTGAAAGAGCCTTCACAGCAGCCCGATCAGCAGCAGGGGAGACGTGTGCCAATCACTCAATCCAGTATAGGATTTCTCAACTGTTCTCCACATCCTGTCTTTATTTTATGCACCGTGTTTGTTGTAAAGTCATCTGTGCTCAAATCTCAGGTGTTGTATAAAAACCAGACTCTGCTTTGTGTGCACCGCATCACAGAGCACCTGCAAATAAAGTTTCAAACTCGCAGCGGTTTATTTTAAACCTTTCATTGATCATTTTTCCTGCAATTGACAGCAAGAACTAACATATAAGTGTTGTCTGATTGACAAGCATCTCCAACATGTGTTCAAAATAATCTAAAACACCAAATGGGACGAATTTATGTCGCGTTTTCTAAAGTAATACTATCTGTATTTAGCTTTTTGCTTGTAAGGTGGCTCTGAACTGTCAAAACACTTCTCAAAATGCTTTTTCTGACATTAAATATTTGTACATATGTTTTACTGTAACACATTTTGGACATATTTATTCAAAATATAGTTATTTGACTTGTTTGTTAATTAAATATCATTATTTGTATTCAACCTATTTTTTACACATCAGTCAAGTTGTATGTTAATGTTTTTTGCAAAGAAAACGAAATAATTTCTTTTTGGCATGCTGATTTAGGTGAAATCATGATTATAGGTCTATATAATCACCTTGCAATTTTGAAATTATTGTTTTTTTTGCTCTAAGTAGGCTGTTCCATTCATAAGATCAAACTTTTATGAAGTTCTTAAATAAAATATGTTGTTTACTGTGTAAAAATATGACATTTTAAAATATTTATATTTGGCTATAATATATCGGTTATCGGCCTCCAAATGTTAAGTTATTGGTTATCGATATCGGCCAAAAAAAAAACATATCGGTGCATCCCTAAATTATGTTCTTATTAAAAGTATTTGCTTGTAAATATTATGAATTTAATAGTAAAATATAGTACATATGAAAACATATTCTGCAGTTATCAACAATATGGTCACATATGCTGTTGATAAAGAAAAAATATATTATTTTACAATAAAATTTAAATTAATAATTTATTTGAAATAATTATGTATTTAAATCCGAACATTTAAACAAGATTTCAACAATTAAAACATCCAATAAAATTTCTACCAAGGAAAATCAGTCAACTGGAAACAAAAGTGAGCTAATACCTACAACAAAATGTTAAAAACTAAAAAAACTAAACTACATGGATGAAATGGATGGGGTGGGGTTGAGAGGGTTAATTCATGAAAAAATATCCAAACATAAATGAAACCTTAAGTAGCACAGCTGAGAGAAACTGCGAGCACAAACATGAATTCAGGGGAACTTTGCCCATTAAATACTAATTAAAGCAAATGAGAGAACAAATGCACATCTGACACTTGACCCTTTCCTGACCCGGTCATCCTCAGAAAGGATCCGGTTCTGTCAGAGTAGATTCTGCCTGAAGCAAAGCACCAGCCTCCTCAACTAACATGCTTGACTAACTTAATACAAACAAAACGAGCAATAGACTCAAATGCCATGACCATTAAAAGCACAAATAAACCCAATATAAATGCAAGATTACGATCTGCTGGAAAAGTGGTTCAGGTTCAAGAATCGGTGAACGAACAGTCCTAACCAAACATAATGCTTATTCAAAGGACATCCAATGAAAAACAATCACAACAGCCATGCTTAAATCTCAAAATAATAGCTTTAAATAATCTTAATGTCCAATTAACCAAGACGTCACACTCAAGATTCACACTGAGCTCAATTACATGCATTAAACACATTAAACCTGAAGATCTGACAAACTGAAGTGGGTTTGTGGCTTAATAAAGCTAAAAATATTGTGATAATAATTGAAAAAAGGTAATAAACTGTTTTTTAAATAAAACAAAAATACTTCAATAATATGACAATGTTACCATTAATCGATAGAAAATGTGAATATTGAAATATTAACTTTAAAAGGGGTTTGAAATTCCATAACCACAAAAACGATCATTATTTATTATATTTTTTCATTTTTTAACACCATTAAAGCATCAAGTCTATTTTCACAACAATCTCAAAATATTACAAATGAAAAATAATTTACAGAAATTATAATTTACAGAAATAATAATTTTACTCTCAACAAACATAAAAAAAATATATAAAAACAACAAGTGGCAGCCATTGGGGATGTAACGATTCATCGTGACCTTAGGGGTCATGAGAGAATTCGATTTAGGAGGGACTCGATTTATCAAGACACCGGTTGAAAAACGATTGAAATATGTGACTATATAAACTGGTAGAAATGTTGTACGAATCGCAATACATTTTTTGAACAGAGGGGGTGCTGTGTTTACAGGCGCAAACTCGCTTTACCTGCACATCAGCGGTGAGAAAGAGTAAAATGACAGCAGTGGTGTGTGCCAGACACACACAAACTGTGTGCAAATACTGCTAAAGACATTTATTTACACTAACAGAAAAACAAATGTGATGCACAAACCATTAGCACAGTGCAAAACCACTATCATAGACGTCTATATGCAAAAAACTGTTAATAAGCCAAACCACGCGGACCGGATGATTTGGAGCTCTGCTTGCTCTGAAGAGTGCTACAAAGATCACACGGTGCATCAGTGTTTTCATAACAAAAGCGAGTAGATGTTTATCAGACTGAAAGAGAAAGTTGTTCTGTTACAGAAGCAGCTATTAGATTATTTTGACCCTCTCCATTTCAAATTAGCTGATGCATATTTTAATAAAGTTGCTTATTATTGAATATTTATTATTTGAATATGTTCAAGATATTTGCTTCTTAAGTGTATCACAAAGATACAAATTTATTAAACAAGTAATATTAATTATTCACCTTCATAATCATGTTCAACTCCAGTCTTTATCGTACAATATAATTAGTCATTTTATAATCAGTATTTCATGCCAGTGGTCAGTCCCCTGGAGCAGAGCACCTATTGACCACCTTTTTTCAGCAGGGGACATTGTAAATGTGCAAAGATCTCAGCTTATGCCAGAAAACGTGTGATTTGTGGATATTTATTTTTTTCAAATGTAAAATCCCAGCACTGTCAAAGTGTTAGTTTGTTTATATTATTGAGTCTTTAGTTTGTATTATTCTTATTACTATTATTATTAATACAGCTGCAATCAGAATTATTAAACCCCCTGAATTATTCACCCCCCCCCTGTTTATTTTTTTGCCCCAATTTCTGTTTAACAGAGAAGATTATTTCAACACTGATTTATTTTATCTTTGCCATGATGACAGTAAATAACATTTACTAGATATTTTTCAAGACACTTCTATACAGCTTAAAGTGACATTTAAATGCTTAACTATGTTAATTAGGTTAGCCAGGCAGGTTAGAGTAATTAGGAAAGCAATTGTATGACAATGTTTTTTTTTTCTGTAGACTACAGAGAAAAAAATACAGAGCTTAAAGAGGCTATCAAATTTGATCTTAAATGTTTAAAAAAAAAACTAAAAACTGCTTTTGTTCCAGCCGAAATAAAACAAATAAGACTTTCTCCAGAGGAACAAATATTATCAGACGTACTGTAAAAATTTCCTTGTTTTGCTAAAAATCATTTGAGAAATATTTAATTTAAATTAAATTAAGGGGGGTGGGGATAATTCTGACTTCAACTATATGTTTTTGGAATTTATTTGTTTTTAAAATAGCAATTTGGTTATGGTAGAAAACATTATTTAGCAAAAAATGTGCAGCATTTGAAAATAAAAATGAAAGGGCTCTTCACTTTAAATTTGTTTCAAATAATTCTGGAAAGAAATTGTGCCAAAATCACGAACCATGAGATTAGTATCGTGAATCGTATCGAATTGTGAGCCAGGTGAATCATTTTATCCCTAGCAGCCATGTTTAAATAAAAAAAATTGCTTTAAATAACGCTAATGTCCACTTCACACGCAAGAATCTCTGAGCTTCATTAAATGCATCTTTTCCACTTTAAATACAGTACACAAAAACACCTTTTAACTGCAAACCACAGATGGGACACCGACCAAACCAAGCACATTTATGAATAACTTGTAATACCACTAAAACTAATTAAATGACTTTGGACGTTAAAATATATTCAGAAAACACGTAAGACCAAAACAAAGTAGATTTCATAATTTTATTATGTAGTAACATTCAACCATTCTGAAAGTTTCTGCAAGAGGTGTAAAACAAATTAAATAATTAAATAAAAATAATAATAATTAAAAAATAATGAATCAACTAACTAAAACAGATTTATTTTAAAGATTTCTTTTTTGGGATTTTTTTCTTTATTGACATGATGGTAGCATTGGCATCAAACAGTTGAAGTCAGAATTATTAGCCCTCCTGAATTATTAGCCCCCTGCTTATTTTTTGCCCAATATCTGTTTAACGGAGGGAATATTTATTTCAACACATTTCTAAACAAAATAGTTTTACTAAATAATTTCTAATAACTAGTTTCTTTTATCTTTGCCATGATAACAGTACATAATATTTTACTAGACATCTTTCAAGACACTTCTATACAGTTTTAAGCGACATTTAACGGCTTAACTAGGTTCATTAGACAAGTTAGGGTAATTATGAAAGTTATTGTATATTGATTGTTTGTTCTTTAGACAATTAAAAAATATATTGCTTAAGGAGGCTAATAATATCGATCTTAAAATGTTTTTAAAAAAATTAAAATCTGCTTTTATTCTCACCAAAATAAAACAAATAAGACTTTCTCCAGAAGAAAAAAATATTCTAGGAAATACAGTAAAAATTTCTTGCTCTGGTTTACATCATTTGGGAAATATATATAAAAAAATCATACTAAAAGGAGGGCTAATCATTTTGACTTCAACTGTACATCGGCGCAATAACCACTACGCTATTGACAAAACGGACATAATTCTGAGTCTTTAAGAGAGTTTGGGAGCAGAATGGACAGCAAAGAGCTTGAAGTAAAGGATGAACGGAGTATTAGTAGAAGGATGTCGGTGCTAGAGCTACATGACTCACCCAGAGAGGCTGGGAAATAAAGACTACCATTCTGATTGGCTGTCGGGCCAGCCAATCGCACTAGCCTTACCTTTGTTACAGGCGTTGTTGAAGTTGCTCTGGCCGTGTGTTTTTAAGTGGCTGGTGATGTAGGCGGCGCTCAGCATCTTTCCACACACGTTGCAAGTGACTTTCCCCTCGTGCCGAATCATATGTGACCGAAGTCTGTCTTTGGTGGCAAAGGCTGATGTGCAGGCCTATTTTAGACATAAGAGATTGGCATAGAAGTAAAGCACACATTCAATCAGCTTTTGAATTGTCAGAATGATCCAAATTGGCATGCGCTGTGAAAATGACGCAATCAAAAAGTCATGACAATGTTAGGCATGGGATAACCAGTTTCAAGGTTTACTGTGATTTGGAAAAGTCAATGTTTTAAAACCGCTAACATTTTCTGTTGTACCGTTCCTATGGCATTTTTTTTTTTAGCAACATTATCTCCGGCAGTAAATTACCATCTACATCAAAAGCTACTGGTCAGAAAAATATATTATAAGATGATTTTTAAAATTCTAAATCGTTTTTGAATTCTAAAATAGTTTAAAAAAATTCTAAATAGTTTTTGAAACTAATGAAGACAGCAGAAGTCAAAGATTTATTTAAATTATTTAGCTTGACATGTTTAAAATTTCAAATTATTTTAGATGTTTCTTAAAGGGCACCTATTTTACCCATTTTACAAGATGCAAGGCCTTTGGTGTCTCCAGAATGTGTATAAAGTTTCAGCTCAAAACACCCATCAGAGTATTTATTATACCCTCCAGAATCTGGCCATTTTGGTGTCTGAATACAGTGTAGCGGTTTTTGTGGCTTTAAATGCAAATGAGCTGCTTCTCCCCGCCCACTGCTCCCACATGTGTCTGCTTCTCATAATGCATTACATCAGATGATCAGCAGTCAGTGGTTTAGACAGACACTGATGAAGCTGATCTACAGCTCATTAGTCAAAAATACCAATTATATTTAATTTATTAGTGGTAGAGTTTATTCAAGCCTTTCTGAAATGATGAGTCACACAAATGCTGCTTGCAGCACAAACACACATATCATCTACTGACACCATGCGGCTATGATGACTGTAGGGGTTAAGAATTAGCGATTTTACTGTCTTTATTACAAACATGCTCTGTTTTAAATATGTATTAAACTTCCAAAAATCACAGAGTTGGAACAAATATTTTATTCCGAGTTTTGTTGCAAAAAATGTTCTGTGGACGTACATGTTATTATAGATATTCATGGTGTCTGTCAATCAATTCAATGTGCGGGGAAAACCACACTCCTACATCATGTTGCAGTGGGCCTCAAAGTCACTGGGATTTGGGTCCTATTTTAACCTACACGCAGCTCCGTCCAAACAGCTAACAAAAGTTGATTTTAAACATAGGTGCTCTTTAACCCTTTAAATAAAACAGTGTGTTCAATGGGAAAAAAATAGTTTTGTTTTTTTTACCCAGACATTTAAAACATACCATCAGAATCTTATACGGGCCCATTCCGAAACAACATGTTTTTATGTTACTTTAACTTATTTTGATATGTTAATCAGGTTAATATGTTCATATTATTTATGCAATTTTTAACCTGTCGTTTTAAGTTTAATTGATGCAGCTTGAATTGATCTCACGTAATTTAAAGAATCGACAAATTTTAAGTGTACACTACAGCAGTACATGGAGAGTACTTAAAATATTACATGATAAAAATTGTAATCAGCCGTGTAACCGGGTATTTATTTAAAGGACTCATTTTATATATTGTTCTCTGCCTACTTTTGGATTACTTTCAGATTACTTCTAGCAGTAACAGTATAGGGTTATTTGATGGAAAAGTAGAAATAACATTCCAACTAGCAATGCACCAAAATTAACATTTTGGCTTGAAATACATTTTAAAATGTTTTTTTTTCCATGTAATATTTTAAAAAGGCTCATTTAAAAGTCAGTTTTGTCAAAGATTTCACTCCTTTTTCAAAACCATTTTAGCCCAAAACAAAAAAAAAATGCTTATTGCATCCTAAATGTTATCAATATAAAATAAATTAAACAGTAAAAATTGTATTTATTGTATAATAAAAAATAAAACACTTTAACAGCAAAATTTGGAAAATTTTTAAAGCCAACAACTGATACAAGAACATGTGAATGTTAACTTACTGAAATATTTAAATTCCTTAAATCTTTAAATCTCAGGTTTTCGACTTCAAATTTCGTGCTTGACTGACAAAAGAAGGGTTTGGTAATCCCAAGACCACAAGAACAAACACTGATATACATAAAAACAGAAATGTCATTATAAATAATGGTTCTTTTTAATGTTTTTTATTTTCTTATTCCCAGGTTCTGCAGGTTGCATTGTTCCGGATTTTCATTGCCAATCTTAAACCAATTGTAATCGTTTGTTTTGGTTCAATTTTTTATTTCTTTAACCAGTGCAGAGCCCAGAGCCTCCGACTTGGCCCCCTCTCATCCAAAATAGTAGTTCTTTATTGGCATTATGAGACCCAACCATATTAACCAACTAACCACATCAATTTTGTTAGCTCACATTGCTAGTTTTGTGGTGGGCAATTCATCTGTGCATGTCATTAAGAAAAAAAAAATAGTTTGCCGTTAGCTAAAATTAAAATCTGTAAATCCACTTCCTGTTTGTTTCTCAGATTACATCTGTCTGAGGTATTGAGCATGGC